AATAATAAATTCTATTTACTTTCACTTTCAGTTCCATAATTCTATTTCAGTTTCATAATTCAGATTTTTGTGTCACATCCTGGTCCTTGAGAAAGTCAGCCAGAGTAATCAAACACAGATCCACAGATTTATGTTTCACTTCAAGTTTCCCTTCTGTAATGTAACAGAGTTGATGCAATCCATCATAAAAGTGACAAAAACAGACAAAGTTATTTTATTGCAGTGATTAATTTTACCTATATGTAGAAAATGTTACATTTACATCCTGTCATGCATCACATATTGATGATGCTGCTGCTGACTGACTGATCCATGATGTGATGTAAATGTACCATTTTCTACATATAGATAAAATTACTTCAGTAAAATAACTTTGTTTTTGTCACTTTTACTGTGGACTGCATCAACTATGTTACATACAAAAGGGAAACTTCACCAAAGTGAAACATAAATCTGTGGATCTGTGTTTGATTACTCTGGCTGGTTTTATCAAGGACCAGGATGTGGGACACAAAAATCTGAATTTAAGAACTGAAAGTGAAAATAGTCAAAACTGAATTTTTTAATAGAACAAAATACAGTTTCAAAGCAAATTCATTCAAATTCAAAACTTTAAATTCAGCTTCAAACCATTAAATACATTTTCAAACCAATGCATACAATTTCAAATTACACACATTCAGATTCAGTCTAAGCAATTCAAATTCAATTCCTGCTGGCACAAGATTTATCCCATAATTTTGCTGTGGAGAAAACATGCAGTCAAAGAAGCTCTCCGTGCAGGGGAAACAAGCCACCCTTAAGCTGCAAAAACAACAATAAAAAAAAAAAAWCCATCTGACAAACCCACACACACGAAGTGCAGGTTATATCGTTTTTGTACTGTTTTTTGTTAGTTAGTTTGTTTTTGTTTTTTCAAGATTTTTGGTCAACTGTAGCACGGAAACAGCTGCACCAATCAGCGTAAAATTTGGTAGGATTGTAGATGTGTCTGACCTACACTGTACCAGCCAACAGTTTTACCATAGACCCCATATTTGAGAAGGGGGCTCCATCTAAGATGAGGGTGTCTGGACATGCAAAAATGTTTATAACTCAAAAACTATTCAACATAGAAGCTTCTGATTTGTTGTTGTTGTTTAGCTTTGATGAAGGGCTATCCATTGGGCCCACTATGTCATATCTAGTTACTTGTTTATTTGAAAAAAAGATGTGTAAACCTCTGCATCCTGAGCTGTCACTCCTCCCCTGCAGAGACCAGCCTCGTATTTTTAGTTTCACCTGATTGCAGTGTATCACCTGCCGGGGTCACCAGCAGGTGAACTGAACTGACACAGAGTCATGAGTTCGACAGTTTCACCTTTACAGTGGTCGATCTTTAACGGCTCTGAAGATTTCCAGGCTTTTGTAAAGAATATATTTCCTGATAATTTGTGTTTTGTTTGTCAGTACAAATAAAAGTTATTAGTTTGTCTAAAACTAAAGTGTGAACAAAGCAAAGTTCTGACCAGATAGTGGCACTAGAAGAAAGAATCACTGAAGTAGATTTGGAAATATTTTTTGAACAAGTTAATAAGTTTATAATGATGTCAGATGAAGGTCAGATGTTTCAGAACATCAAAAGAATTTATTTTCTGGGAACCATCATAAACGTATCACTTTTTCTAATATTTGATAACATGTCAGAGGTTGGCCCACAGGAGGCGCTGCAGAGCCACACTCACCCAGGTGCCTCTGAGAGGAGGAGATTCAAACAGGTGAGATTGCCGTTGGCTGCAGCATAGTGAGCAGGTACAGCCCCGCAGCTCGTCTCCACGTCGGCCACTCCCCTGACAGAAAGCAGCCACTGAATCACCTCCGTGTGATCAAAGCGAGCCGCCAGGTGAAGGGCCGTGGCACCGGCAGCGTCCTTGTGCTGGAAGACATTCACATACAGCTGCTGAGGCTGGGACATAAGTCCACAGATCATCTGTCTCTATCTGACCCTGTCCCATCCTCCTCTGTCCCATCATCCTCCTCTGTCCCATCATCCTCCTCTGTCCCATCCTCCTCCTCTGTCCCATCACCCTCCTCTGTCCCATCATCCTCCTCTGTCCCATCACCCTCCTCCGTCCCATCATCCTCCTCCGTCCCATCATCCTCCTCTGTCCCATCCTCCTCTGTCCCATCATCCTCCTCTGTCCCATCCTCCTCCTCTGTCCCATCCTCCTCCTCTGTCCCACCCTCCTCCTCTGTCCCATCATCATCCTCTGTTCCATCATCCTACTCTGTCCCATCATCCTCCTCTGTCCCATCCTCCTCCTCTGTCCCATCCTCCTCCTCTGTCCCACCCTCCTCCGTCCCATCCTCCTCTGTCCCATCCTCCTCTGTCCCATCATCCTCCTCTGTCCCATCCTCCTCCTCTGTCCCATCATCCTCCTCTGTCCCATCATCCTCCTCTGTCCCATCCTCCTC